GAGTCGTTAGAGGCAAGACTGGAGCCAGCCGCTGATTTTGAATTCTGGCTGTGTGAACTTGGGCAAGTTCTGAGGTGTCCCCTTCTTCCGTTTTCCCTGGGAAGGCAGGTGGAGCACAGCATATACCTCTTTGGGTTGTTATAAAGATTACATGAGGTACAATTTATGAGTCATTTACACAGCACCTAGTGTAGTAAGCATGTGTTAGATGAATCTTTTTTCAAAAACCTACTTAGTACCTAATTTACCTGCTGAAGTCTTGTTGAATCCATTGATTGTCTTTGGGAGAGAACTAGGTAAGTGGGAAGTGTGGTTACTTCTGCTTGCTATTGTTGTTATCAAGCGAGGCAACTGTGGTCTTGAGCTCTTAGGTGAGAATCTAGGATAAGATACACTCAGAAGGCAGTTCTGTACTGACCACAGGCCTGCCCCATGGTTCTGCCCTCGGCACCACCACCAGCACCAGCACCACCACCCTGCTCAGCCTACTGTGAGTCACACACAGACCCGGGAAGCAAATGCTCAGGCATGTTGACAAGGACCAACACAGGGTAGAACATTTACACTGGAAAAGAAAGTTAAATAATTTAAAACATGAAAAACACAATTCTATAAAAATCATGTAAGTAACCATGAAGTAAAAACACTGATCGATTAAACACACACACATCCCTCAAATGAAAACCAGAGTGACTAGACAGTACAACTCAAAGACCCACAAAATCCCTCTGAAAGCTGGGGCAGAACATTTTGATGAGTGTCATGGTAGAAAAACTCCAATATACCCTTAGCCTGGAATCAGAAGCAAATGACATTAAAGTGCAGTAGCCTGTTTTCCCAACTGGGAAACCAAAAGCCATAGTCAATCCTAATTTATAAACGTGGCAGAGGAAGCTGGGCTTTCAGGGATGGAGAATAGACTATACAAGGAGAGACAGTCATTATTCTTCCTAGAGAAGAGGGAGCAAAAATGTTACTCAATGACATTCTTTACTTAGATTCTCATCATGCTATTTAAACTATGAGAAAAATAATAGGTCATCACAGTAGTAGTCTCCTTACTTGTGGATGAATGAATGCTATGAAAACAAAAGCCTTACACAATTGGGAGGGGCTGTGTGCTAGCACTTTCTGACTAGAGAACATGTACTGTAGGTGTCAGACGTACAGAGATGCTCGATGGGGAAAAATGACAGTTGGCCTAAGGCCGTCAGGGAATACTGCCCATTCGTTTCACCTGTTTTAGAGTCTGAGAGCCATCTGTTTCTTGAAATACGAAGCCAACACATTTACCTGAATATATTAATGACTATGGCAGGAACACAGGAGGCAAGTTTTGGGGTAATGCTGTATGTCTTTGCCATTTGATCCTGAGTGATTTCCATACTAAGGTGCCTCACCAAGAGCCCAAGTCACCTATCCCTCACTGGAACGAAGTGGCACCTGTGCTTCGCAGTAACCCGGCAGAGTGTGGCTGTCTGGATGAGGCAAAGAATCTGGCACTTCAGCAAAAGGGCATGAGAAAGACTTCTACCCAAACTCAGAAAGGTAGCAATGAAAACTGCAAGCCAACTCTCATACTAGAACGTAGGCCTGTTCATGTCTCTCATTATACAGGCAGTCCTGGCTACATGCCAATTTACAAACGCACAATGGTTCCTGCTTCCTGCTATCATTCCTTCAGTCTGAAGTCTGTCTTTCCGCTTCTCATGGGGAAGAGGATAGCAGGGTTATTGAACACTTCGCGCTCATGTTTTTTGCTCTCTCTCTTCTTTTCTGGACCAGTGTTCTTTGGGGAAATATTCTCCCAAGTCCCTTTCTGCTTTAATTTTGAATTTAAAAAAAGAGACTCTTATGTCCAAACAAACAAGAAAGACAAACTTTAAGCTTTGAAGTGAAATCACTCAGATGTGACAGAACCAGGAACCTCAATTTCAAATGACAATTTTTGATTTTTTTCCAGAATCTCCACAAAGATACCTTTTCCATTCTCCTCCAGCACAAGACAATGAAATGTTCGTTATTTCTTGGTGAACTTCATTGGTGTATCTATGTACCCCAATGACACTGTACTTTATTTCAGTATTTCACATGTAAAACATCCTAATTAGTGGTCTAACCTAGAAGCCTGTCATTTATAATATTGACCCTAAGAGAAACACTTAAAAAAAGACTTTACTCACTGGTTAACTTGAATAAGCGTTAGAAATTACGTGGCTTTCAAATTAAGAATCATTATCACTATCAACACTTACCAACCTGCTGTTATTTTTTTTTTTTTTGCCTTGCTGGGCATGGACCCCAGTGCCTTGCCAGGATAGGCAAGGGCTCTACCACTGAGGTACATTCCCCGCCTGACCTGTTACTGTGCATAAGGGTATTTACTGTGGGAACATAGGATGCATACAAATGAAGGTCAGAGCAGCAAGGAACAGAACGGGCAGAAGACACAGAAAGTGCTACCCGAGAAGGTACAGTGTGGAAAGTCCTCATAATCTTCAACTTTGACCTGATTTTTTTCTTTTCATAGTGAAAATGACAAGCAAAAGGAATACACTTTTAAGAGACTGAAAGCAGGTCATAAGAATGAGAAAGACCTGACCTAATTCTGGGAAGGTTAAACTGGGCTCAAGGGTGGGAGTCTTTAAAAGCAACTGCATGGTGACAATACTACAGCATTTTGTTACTGTGCTATGAGGACCAGTAACATTTTTAGAAGAAAGATCAGTAAGCAGTGATGGTTCTATATAAGTAGTTGCAGGGTGGGGAGGATGGCTGCCCTCAGAGAAGGAGGTAAAGAAGACGTGGAAGGGGTAGGCACATCAGGTCACTTTTAGGCTGGATACAAATATGCAGGTGGGTCAACACCTCTGAATAGTGTTTAAATGTTACACTCCATCATAAAATGCACTCTCTCTAGACAGCTGGGCAAGCAAGGGATATGAACACTTGTTCTTTAGGCCAGTCTTTGATGTTTTTATAATCTCTGTAAAGCAATCCACCTTTGACATTAAAAGGGGAAATTCGATCTCAGTGATTAAAACATCAAATTCTGATCCACTGAGGTATAAACAAACTTACCTGCTAATTAGTAATGTAGAGTGAAAAATGCCTTAAAACCCACTCATGTAAAAACAAGGCCTAGGGTTTTAGGGTAATGCAGTTCTAGTGGAGAGAAGGGATTGGCTCTTTCAGATTAATCCTCCCAACACCCTTGAGGTAGATTTAACTCCCTCCCTTCCCCCCTCCCAGCCAGCCTACTACACACTGTGGAGAAAACCCAGTTTAACAAATACCAAGCTAGAAATCGTGTTTTCTTTAGATTTTTCTGAGTTGCCCAATATTGTTTGCAGATGGAGGCAATAAAAATTACAATGAAACTAGGTGCCTGGTGGTTCATACCTATAATCTTAGCTATTTGGGAGACTGAGATTGGGAGGATCAAGGTTCAAGTTGAATTAGGGCAATTAGTTCCTGAGACCCCCATCTACAAAATGACCAAGCAAGGTGTGGCTTAAGTGGTAGAGCACCTGCTTTGCAAGTGTGAAGCTCTGAGCTCAAACTCCATTCACTACCCCCCTCCCCAATGCAGCCAAGGTACTTCAAGTAAAACGGATATAAAATTGTAGCTTTAAAAACTAGTGCCAAGAGCATGTCCACTCGTCAAAGAGGAATGGATGTGCAGATAGTAAATCTGGTTAGTTTTGGTGGCACTGAGGTTTGAACTCAGGACCTCATGTTAGGCAGGTGCTCTTATCGCTTGAACCACTCTGCCAGCCCTAAATGGTCCCTGGTAGCATAGACTTAATATTATTTTCAATCATTCATGGGCTGAATAGTCTATCTTACCATTCACCTCTTAAAACTCGTTGCTTGCTAGCATTTCCTATCAACATTAAATTGGGATGGAGGAAACTGGGATGACTTCAGTTAATTTTGCTATTTATAAACTTTTGACTAAAATATCAAAGTTAATAGCTAATATATTTTTGGATTGGCTGTTGATAATAATTTTCTGTGTGATTTCAATTCTCTGTTACAAAGCTGATTTAACTTTAGGTTGGGGACTGATTCAGATTAGTCATTTAAAAAGTAAATGGTGACTTTAAGAGGCAAGTAAGATTTCATACTTTGTTTACAAACCTCCGATACAACAGGCATGTGTGTTAGTGATGACATCAAATGCTGGCTGACGTTGTGACATTGTGAGTTTTCCTGAGAAATCTGGTCACACAAACTGCAGTCCTCTCCACCTCACCCAAGGATGATGAGTGACATCTTTAGAAGCCATCTATCTTTCCGTGTGGTTCTCAAGTCTGTCATCCCATCTTAGTGCAGTAGTTCCCAAAGGTGGTCTCCACACCACCACCATGTCCTTGGTAAAGAGAATTTCCTTTCCACAAGGTTTAAGAAACAACGCAAGGAAGGCCTTTCTACAGGTATGCCATAGAGATTGGCAGACACTACTTCTTTTGAAAACTGCGAATATGAAAGTTCCTTCAAGAGAAGCACCACCGTAGCTCACTGTCTACACATCATGGGACAGAGTGAGCATTATCTCCTTTACTAGGCTAAAAGGACCAAGTCATCACATTTATTACCTACAAAGGAGTAAATTGTCAAAACTTAAAAAGAAATGAAAGGAAAAGTTAGAATACACTATTAAAAAAGAAGCAAGATCCATTTTTCTGGCTCAGTTGAAATCTTATTGTTTCCTTCATCAGTTAAAAGGCAGCTTAGAAGCCAGACATGGTGGTACATGCCTATAATCTCAGCACTTGGGAGGATAAGGTATGAACACTGCGACTTCAAAAACAGCCTCGGGTACTTTTAAAAAGCAGCCTGTGGAAGCTGAGAGAAAGAATCCAACAAAGCAGTTGAATGCCACAAGATCACAAGACTCAAGTTCCCCCTTCCCAGCCATTTCAACAAATAATTCAGTATTCTGCTAGGATACCAATTATTTTCTGTCCCCAAAACTTTAAAAACAAGCCACAAAATCCACATTAGAATATAAGTTTTTTAATTTTTATAAATAACTTATCTGTTACAAAGATAGTTTACCCAGCTAAATCACAAAACCATTAACTCAAGATATCCAAATTACGTTTTATTAATAAAACAAGTAAAAACTGATTTGTCAATCTTCACATAGAACTGCAGATGAAGCTGAAAAACAAGGCCTACTTTTAAAACAAAATGCATCAAATATAAGGGCTTTGGGTTTATTGTCTAGTTAACTAGGATTTCGTATTTCTTTCCATATACATAATGCCAAGCCTGAAACCAAGGCTCTGACATTCACAGATACGTCCATAGTAATTCTGCTTATTTAAAACACAGCCACTTGCAAACATTTACTGTGGTGACAGTCTATATTATTGGCTCTTTTGCTGTATTTCAGCACTTCCCTCAGCCCCATTCTAAGCACTGATATATAATTCCATAATTCTTTTAAAATGTATACTGTTATGTTTTTCTTGGTTTCATTTAGTTATATACATTCCTGATCATCTAAATACTTTCCTTACAAAAATATATCATCAAAATAGAGATGTTTGAGGTTGCTTCAGTGTTCAAGTTTGCTTTTCTCTCTTTTTTCCAGCTTTTCTTCAGTTGTCCTAAATTATGACTAGCCTTGTTTTATAAATATACATGATACTGCCACAAGTCAGGTTTGGAAATGGATCATTCCAACAGTAAAGCATTTAAACTTCTTTCCGAAATAAGGGCTGTTGCTACTGCTGCTGTTGCTGGTTTTGAAACTGTACTTCCCAATAATAATCTCTTACGAAAGTTCTGTGGGGCACCAAGCAGATGGAGCAAGCTCTGGCAGTGGGTTAAAAATACCTTTTGTTTCATGCTTCCCCGTGGCAGACAACGCACTGTGTCGTACCCACTGCTACAGCCAGTACACAGCATGCAACCTGCCAACATTATTGTACTATTTTCTGCAATTCACTGTGCAGCACTGTATGTTTTCACAGAACATTGGCACCTAAGAGGGCAAAGTACAGAATGAGCAGAGGAAAGTTATTCTGTGCATAGTTTTGTTTCATTAATGCTTTTTTATTTTACGACACTGCTTCTTTCAGGTAAGGCATGATCGTGCTTAATCACTAATAGGAAAAAAGAAAATTAGTTAACAAAAGGCTATTACACTATACATATAGAAATACAAGAAAATAATCAAGAAGAAATCACGTAAGAGCAGACTTGAGAGCTCTGTACAGTAGGAAAAGGTTTGGGGTATTTCACTGCATATTTGTATAGACGATGCGTGCTTTCCTTTTCATCTTCAGACCCTCAATGCTGGCTTCACAGAGACGTTTTCAGGGAAGACAAAGACAAGGCTAAGAGTACCACAGATCTATGAAGTTCTTCCCCTATCCGTAGGCACAATGAGGCCGCGAACAGTTTTTAAATAGTTAAACCTTGTTCCTTCTCTTTGTGTATGTAGTGTTTCACTGAAAGCTTTAAAAAGAAAACAAAACGAAAGCTCTGGTTCTTTCTTCCTCCTGTCAAAATTCAGTAGTGACAGGAGGGTTTTGAAAAAGTGTTGGAACACCGAGGCATTAACATAGCGAGGAACATCCACAGTGGGTTCCTGGCAACACTGCACGTGGTCAGGCAGCAGGCGACTGCGCCTTTCATGTGATGAGCTTCAACTGCCCAGGATGTGATGCTGAGGTATGATTAGCTCTGTGGCTGACACTTAACGTTAGCACACCACCATCTTGTCACACCTTCAATTTGACAAAATCCTATGCAGCAGTGAAACTTTTCCCCGATGACAGACTAGTTTCTTGAATTTTAGATACGGTTTTAGAGAAGACATAGGGCCTTCTGGCTCAGAAATGCCGTGGCATCTCGCACTGTTCACAGCGGATTAAGGCTGGATGGTTCAAAAAAGTACAGGCAGTGCAATTCCACTGAGCGCCCTCATCATCTTCTGTGTCTTGAGTCTTTGGTGTTTTGATGGTGGACCTCTGATCTATAAGGAAGAAAAAAAAATTTAGAAGTAAAAATCATAAAGTCTGACAAATTAGCGGCAACTCTAAACAGCATTTGTACTGCTGTTAACCATAGGAAGCCACTGTCTGAAACTGGCAAATGTGCCTGACCATCAACAGCTCCATCAGCTGGTACTTCTCCTCTGGGGAAGAGCCACATGGACATGACAGAATGACCTCCATGTCTCCTTACGGGAGAAAACAGCCTCCTGCTCTCCATTTCTAATAGAAGAAAGGGTAACTAACAGCAAACATTTCCATAATGTCACTGAAGACGGTGAAAAGGTGTCCCACTGCAAAATAATATAGTGTATTTAAATCTCATTAAAGTTAAGAGTTTCATTTCCCATTGAAGTACTATCTATATTTCTGTTTTCTACTAGGAATGGAAGTTTTTGTTAAATGACCTTACCTGCTAAAAATGTAAGCCTGAATAATACAAAATGTGAAAAGAAAAGAAAAACCTGACAGGTGTGGTGATGCATACCTATAATCCCAACACATGGGAAGCAAAAGCAGAAAGATCATGAGTTTGAGGTCAACCTGAGCTACACAGTCTTAAAACAAAACAAAAAAAAATAAAGAACTAATTTCTAAAATGACTCCAAAGAAGCCAGTGCAAAAACTTCACCATACTTTATTTTTTTAATCTTATTTAAAAAGAATATTAGGTAGCCTTTATACTCTGTTCAAAGTTCCTTTTATTGTGCAGAAGCTGTTTTTGCTTTTGTTGTCACATCCAAAAAAATATTGCCCAGAAAAATGTCAAGAAGCTTTTCCCTTGTTTTCTTCTAGTAGTTTTATACTTTCACATTTTATGTTGTAAGTCTTTAATTCACTTTGATTTTTTTATGTGATGTAAGACAGGGTCCAGTTTCATTCTTCTGTATGTGGACATTCAGTTTCCCCAATATCATTTATTAAAGAGGTTGTTCCCTGTTGTGTTTTGGCACCTTTGTCAAAGACAGGCTGACCATACAGATGCATGTATTTGTTTCTAGGCTCTCTACTTGGTTCTACTGGTCTAGATGTATTGTTTTGATTACTGTAGCTTTGTAATCTATTTTGAAATAAGGGAGTGCAATGCCTCCAGCTTTGTTCTTACTCAAGATTACTTTGGCTATTTTAGGTCTTTTGTGGTTTCATATGAATTTTAGGATTTTTTTTTCTACTTCTGCAAAGAATGTCATTGGGATTTTGACAGTGAGTGCAAAGAATCTATAGATTACTTTGGGTAGAATGGACATTTGAACAGTATGAACTCCTTCAGTTCATGAACATGGGATGACTTTCTATCAGCTGTCTGTTAATTTCCTTCATCAGTGTTTATGTTTTGGTCTACAAGTCTTCCACCTCTTTGATGAAGTTTACTCCTAAGTATATTTATTCTTTTTGTTGCTATTATAAATGGGATTGTATTCTTGATCTCCGTGATTTGTGTTCAGAAACATCTTTGATTTTTCTATGTTGACTTTGTATTCTGTAACTTTACTGAATCATTTATTAGTTTTAATAGTCTATTGTTAGGGTTTTTTTTTTTTAAATATCTACTCATTCACTCTGTATCTTTTGATTGATGAATGTAAACCATTTTTATTTAAGATAATTATTGTTAAGACTCATTACCATTTTGCTGTTTCTAGTATTTTGGCAGTTTTTTTTCTTGTTCCTCTTTTCCTCTCTTGTCTCCCTTTGTTGTTTGATAATTTGTTGTTGTTTAAGGATTTACTTTATTTTCTTTACCTTTTGTGTATTTTTATTTATTATAGGCTTTTTTCTTTATGGTTAGCTGGAGACTTGCATAAACTATCTTTATCTATGCCCTTCTACTGTAAGTTGATGACAACATAACTTCAATTGCATACAAAAATATTATAATTCTGCCAACCCAGGACAATACATCTTGTGTTCTTGTAGTCAAATTTTGCTTTTTAAATACTGTATGTCTGTTTATGAATTCTTATATTTGAACTCTCATAGTAGTTTTAAAAAGTAAATTAGGCTGTGATTACAGCACTAAATTAATTGGCAAGTGAACATCCATATATTTACCTTCACCAGTAAGATTCATGCATTTGAGTACACCTATACATGTTTTAATGCCTGGGTCAAACACACACGTTTCAACGTTTTAATTTGCTATACATATATTCTGTGAATATCAGGTGATACAAAATGATAATGGATAATACATTTTGAAAGCCATTCCTCTAGAATTCAGGACAGTTAATCACATATGTCAACACATATGTTAAATAAAATAAGATATTCTTGAAAAAATAAACTTCCCTAACGTGTCTTCCTCACCATTTGTCTAAAAATTTGAAGAGTAAAAATTTCTGCACTTGTTTTTTTTTTTTTTTTTTAATCACGATTTGCTATTTTGGGAATACAGAGTGATTCTTAAGGTCACAAATATTACTTTTAAAAAGCTAAATACATTACACTTTTGCATTCTTCCCAATCCCAGCATATAGGTGAAAACAAACATCTTCCTTGATGAATACACCAAAACCAATGTTTGATGCACTACTTGAGTGGAAGGTTGTTAAAATAAAAATATCGTAAGACCTTGCTTTTCAAGATGTAACAGTTTCACATTTAATGGATACACTAACCTTTGGGTTTTGGTGGCACAGGACCTACAAATCCAATATTGTCATAAAAGTTATGAATAGCGCTGGGGTTAAAATGTGGTCCTGAAATATATAAAAAGTAAATATATCAGTGTTTATAGCTCAAAAATACTTAATTTTATTTTTTAAAGCAAGCATTTCTTTCTAAAAATATTACAGTATAAACAGAAGAAATGCTCTTCAATTATTTTCATCTTTAATTTCAAATTATATGTAAAATTTCAAAAATATATTTAAAAATATAGTACTCATAAACAGAGGCAAATTGGGGAAGAAGATAAATTAATGCTTATAAGAAAGAATTAGAAGCAGACTCTTGTTCTATGTGACAAGTTAAAATAACTTAAAATTTAACAATTAAAAAAACTGAAATTACCAAACACAGACTTAAGGAACTGGACTGCCCTCCCCAAGAAGCATAATGACCTTGTGCTAATGTGGTATCATGGTTCCAGATCTGACACAAGAGGAACAAATTCAAGGATCGTAGTTTCTAGACCAAAGATCAAATTCTGGCATTTTTCTCTGTTTCACAACATTTTAAAAGAAATTTAAGTAAAATTAACTATCTTTCAATGCAATAGCTGCTGGAACACAGTCAAAAGTGGGATTAAGGACTTTTTATGTTGGTTTCCTTCCTTTTCCTATCTTTTCTATTTCATATATTTCTGTTATTTCCCTGCAAAATTAGGCTTCTGTAACAAAATTTCATTTTAGTTTTCTATGGAACTGAATTAAACTGTAAACAATTTTTCCTACAATATGAAATCATTACTTGTTACTAGTAACTCAAGTATAAAATCTATCACTGTCCTAAGAATGTACAACTATACTCCCCCCCCCATTTTAGCAGTTAAGATAGTGTCACTGAGAGCTGAATTCATAATTCTTGAAAGGTAAAGAAAAAAGGGCAAATAAAGGGATACATTATTATAACAGACTCTGCATACACAGAAGCAATGTATTAGACAGAGAGACTCATCAATCCTCCCTTAACACAGGACTAAAGCAGATTTATTTTTTTTTCTTTTAGTAATGTGGCACTGTTGTAGAGACAGGGCCCAAGACAAATGGAAAACAACCCATCTGGAAGTTCTCTGCTCAGAGTATAGCACCTTCTGTCCCCAAGACCAGCATGAAGCAGCAGGAATGGGAAAGAATCAGGTGCTCCTAAAGCAGATTTTAAGAATTAAAATATACCTAGTTACTATTGAATCAAATACATACTTATTTTTTTGTTAGGGGTGAGAGGAGGGAAAAGGGTAAATAAAATTCTAGTTGTTTTTTAGCACTATTTGGCCAAAAATTTTACGACAGTAAGATTATGACTGGTAAATCTGTTCTCAGCCACAGGAAAAGAGATGGCAGATTAATTCAATGAATTTCAGCTGAGTATGCACTGAACTTTACCTCGGGCTTGAAAAAGATCAATTTCTTTGGTTAAGCAGTCAATGTCAATCTGGAGTTGTCTATTACAACTTCTCAACTGCTGCATTTCTTCGAGCTGAAAAATAATTCCATGTAAGAAAGATTTGCATTGAATTCTTGTGTCATCAGTAAGAAAGTATAGAGTTTGGAGGGAAAGGTAAGGACAGAAAACAAGTATGAATTAAGAGCATTTGTAGAAAACTAGATCAAGCTTTTTACACTATGGCAGACAGTCTATTCTGTTCAAGCACAGAGGTCATGACAGTCATGTAAGACTTACTGAAGGTATTTGGGATATGGAATTTGATCTTTTCAGGCGCCTTCGTGTTAGATTATTTTCCATTTCGTTGACCTCAGATTTTAGTTTATCCAACTTTTTCTTTTGAATCTCAAGTTCTCTTTGAAGTCGTTCCATTCTGGCCTTCTGGTGTACCAACAGAGCTGCAATAAACATAGTTAACATGAGGACTCCCCACTTCAGCAGTAAACCTTTAAGCAGACTTGGGAAAACACAACAAATGAGTATCTTTGTGACAAACAAGAATTTGCCAAGAATCCCAAAGCTGCAGTGAACCAAAATATTGTCAGTTTAAACGCATAAAATTTCAGAAATTTTAGCCTGAAAATAGCTTTAATCATTTAAGCAAATGTGATTCACTTTAATTTTTCAATTTTTTTAAGGGTTAGGATTAAATTCACTTTTTAGATGAAGATAGTTATCTTCAGCCTATAACTTTTCTAGACGTTCTAGTGTAGTTAACCTACTCGCTGTTATCTGATTCACATCTGACCCTTGGAAAGGACAACCCCTTTTACTTCAGGGTCATATATTTGATCTATACATAGGTATTCTAACATTAAAATTTTATAGATATTTTAGAAGGGAGTGTGGAACAGGTTGAACACATTTTGATGTATGCAACAAATAAAACAGGTAGATTGACTTCAAACCACATGAATGTTAACATTAATCCGTTCAAATTGCAAAGTAAGAACAATATCATTTAGAGAAACTGAACAATTTTTTCTTCTTATAATCAGATCATACTTAGTGAAAATATTTTCCCAGGATTTTTAAAGAAATAAAATAAGTAACCCATATTGCAGCATGAATGATGAACTGCTGGCAAACCTTATCAATAGTTGTATATATGTCCATGTGATCCATTCCTGGACAATATAAACCTCATCTTTTAGGATACTGGATTGGACGTGAAGATATCAGAACCTACTTTTAGAAGAGACATCTTGGGATTATTTTATCTTGAGAAAATAGGCAGATGTGAGAAAATACCTCGAATCTCTGGAAATAAACGAGTCATTTGAAATGAAAAAAAGTCAAGTAGATTAAATAGTCTAAGACACAGTTGGTGACCTGTAAGGTAAGTCTTAGTGTCAACCCAGAGTGCACAAGGAAAGTGACAGAAAACATAAGTAGGAGTTAAAAGGTCTCACACACAGTCATGTGCTGTACAATGACGTTTGGGACAATGATGGACTTATGGGAACAATGGTGGTCCCATACGATTATACTGCAACTGGAAATTCTTACTGCTTAGTACTTTTAATTCTAAGTAATTTCTGGTTTTCCTATGTTTAGGTATGTTCAGATATGTAAGGTACTTACCTATCATGTTCACAAGTGCCTTACGGTACTCAGTACAATGGCACACTATTAATGTTTGCAGTTTAGGACCAACAAGCTATTCCATGTAGTCTTGATATGTAGTAGGCAATACCATCTAGGCCGGTGTAAGTACACTCTACAATGTTTGCACGATGATGAAATTGCAAGATGAACCAAATTCAGCTCCATTCCTGAATAAACTGACTCAACTCCTCATACTGACAGAAAGCAGTGCCCCCATTTCTGGGTGTAAATGTCATTTTACCTCAATCTCTTTTGTTCCTTTCCACAGTTTGACATTCAATAAAGAATTACGAGATACACACAAAAGTAAGAGAAAAGCCTGGCTCATCAAGAGCCACAGCAATCAACAGACCCGTACTGGAGGATAATCCAGATTCTGGAACGACTTAACAAGGAAGCAAAAAACCAGAGACAGAATTCCTTTGATAGGCTTATGAGTATATTGAACATAGAAGAATCAGTGAACTTAAAGATATAAATTACCCAAACTGAACACAAAGTAGTGTTAGTACACAACTTTCATTCTGAATGGAAAAAAATCACAAAAGACACTCTATTTTCCAGTTAATGTATCATAGAGCACACACTGCAGCACAGGGATTGAACATCCTCCCAGTCACAGATAGCGCCACTGGGAATTCCTAATTGGGTATTTTTTAATGTTTCTATCAAAATAAGAAAGTAAATCATAGACAGGGTTGAGTTACAAAAAAGGCCAATATTAGTAGGAATAACTCTTCACACTGGGCAAACATGTGATTCAAAGATTTAGAAATGAAGGAACCAGAGTTGGTGAAGGAACTAGGTATGGCTGTGAGATGTTTCTGAATTTAAAGAGTAAATTCCACTATATGTATGTATGTATATGTGTGTGTGTGTGTGTGTGTGTATATACATATATATATCTATATATCTATATCTATATCTATCTATATATATATATGGAAATGTCATAATGAAACTCCCTGTATAGCTATCTTAAATAAACAAAAATGTCATTTTTCAAAAACGGGGGTCAGGGAGGTAAAACAGGTCCTCTCTGGAGGAGTAGGTGCCAGTGGGAGGGGGTAGGATATAAGGAAAGGGTGAAGGAGGTGAATATGGTGGAAATGTGGTTATGTATTCATATACGAAAATGGAAAAATGAGACCTGTTGAAACCATTCTAAGAATGGGGAAAGAGGGGATAAAGGAAAATGATGGAAGGGGTGAATTTAACTATGATATATTGTAAGCATTTTTGTAAAGGTCACAATGTATCCCATATGTACAACAATAACATAATAAAAAATTATAGTTAAAGTAAAGAGTAAATTCTTGAGCTGGGCGTGGCAACTGACACCTGCAATCCCACCTATTTGGGAGATGGAGATTATTGGAAGGATCATGGCTGAAGGCCAGGCCAGCCTGGGCAAAAAGTCAGTGAGAGTCCCATCTCAACAGCAAAAAACGGCTGGGTGTGGTGGTACATGCCTGTCATCCCAGCTACATTGGAAGCATTAAGTAGGAGGTCTGTGGTCCAAGCTGGCCCTGGCAAAAAATGGGAGACCTTATCTCAATAATAACCAAAGCAAAAAGGGCTAGAAGTGTGGCTCAAGTGGAAGAAAAAGAAAAAATTCTTCAGAATGTTTCTGAAACAAATAGAAAGACTGCATTCTTGGTAACTCAAAAAGAAAGGAGGTTCTACCATGGCTGAATATGTGGCTCTGACAGGACTAGGACCGAGGTCCTAAATAGTAAAACACTGTAGAACAACTGCCTTACAATTTATTTAAGAGTAAATCTTTCCAATTGAAACAAACTGTTAAGAATTATGATGACTGTATCACTTCAAAATGACACACTCAGTTGGTAGACTACTTAGGATCTCTTAGGAATGTGTCTTATTAAAAACAAGCTAAAATTGTTTTGAAAATAGTAGGAAAGAGGTACCTCTACTCCTTAGCAATTCTTTGTCTCTAGTTCACTTTTGATTTATGGTTTGGGATTTTTAGAAAGGAATCTAAGAAAGATGAGGTTCAGAGGAAAATGAAGTCAAGGTGAATTTCTAAAAATTGCCATGACAATTTAGTTACAGTTAAACTCTTCTGTATCTGTGGCTTCTATAATTTTAAACTTTGCTGTATAAAATGTTCCCCAATATTTGTGCATTATGAGACAACGCTGCTGGAAAACTATCTATGCATAGAGACTTGAGAAAAATCACTTACCCTGCTTTCTGTTTTGTTTTGATGTATAAAGAAATTTTAAAGAATCATAGTAATCGTACAGACAAACGACGCTCAAGCACACTCTAGTAAAACCAACTTATTCAGGAGTTGGGGAGATTTGTTCACAGGCTTCCATGAAGGAAAAATTTTCTTCACCTGTCATTTATTTACATACAGATTAATACTGACTTACAAAGCTAAGCTATAAAGATTTAATTATAGGAGCCAGGACTTTGAAGATGGCTAACCAAGCCTTGTACTTGAGGTGAGGAAGGGGCCAGAAAAACAGTGCTTTCATTGGCTATCTGTATGTGAGATAGTCAGTCTCTTCCCATTGTGGAGGGCAGGCTGCATGCAGCTTCTTGTTCATTTTTAAGCCTCTTCCCTTTCCCACCCTGGCCCCCATACACACAGAATACTAAGTGGTACTCCATTCTAAAATTCAGCAATTAGCCAAGGATTACCACATATTTCAGGAATATCTGACACATGAAAGAAGTGATAAACAAAAAAAGTTGAAACAGCTAAATGGAGATAATCCAGGAGAATGGAAAGAGCTTAAATTCTAATTAATAACATTAAGAGAATAGAAACAACACTATTTTCATAAAATAACAATCTACTATGAAAAAGAATGAGAGAACTGGCTCTCAGGAATTAAAAATATCACTGCTGAAATGAAAACTTCACATATGGGTTGGAATGCATATTAAGGAAATCTTCTAAAATGTAAAATACAAAACAAGTAGGTAGAAGATACTGAGGATATGAGAAAGGAAAGTAAATAGGAAGTTGGTCTAGCTTGTTAAGCAGCTGAAGAAGAGAAGGTCTAGAAAGAGAAGATGTGAGAACTAGTGGGGATCAGAAGAGAATTTTCCAGGGCTGAAGGGAGGCAGTAGCCTTTTTTTTAATTTAATTTAATTTTATTTTTCATATGTGCATACAAGGCTTGGTTCATTTCTCCCCCCTGCCCCCACCCCCTCCCTTACCACCCACTCCGCTCCCTCCCTCTCCCCCCCCAATACCCGGCAGAAACTATTTTGCCCTTATTTCTAATTTTGTTGTAGAGACAGTATAAGCAATAATAGGAAGGAACAAGGGGTTTTGCTGGTTGAGATAAGGATAGCTATACAGGGCACTGACTCACATTGATTTCCTGTGAGTGTTTGTTACCTTCTAGGTTAATTCTTTTTGATCTAACCTTTTCTCTAGTACCTGGTCCCCTTTTCCTATTGGCCTCAGTTGCTTTTAAGGTATCTGCTTTAGTTTCTCTGCATTAAGGGCAACAAATGCTAGTTTTTTAGGTGTCTTACCTATCCTCACCCCTCCCTTGTGTGCTCTCGCTTTTATCATGTGCTCAAAGTCCAATCCCCTTGTTGTGTTTGCCCTTGATCTAATGTCCACATATGAGGGAGAACATACGATTTTTGGTCTTTTGGGCCAGGCTAACCTCACTCAGAATGATGTTCTCCAATTCCATCCATTTACCAGCGAATGATAACATTTCGTTCTTCTTCATGGCTGCATAGAATTCCATTGTGTATAGATACCACATTTTCTTAATCCATTCGTCAGTGGTGG